TTCCAGTGAAATATATTTATGTTTGTGGTTGTAATGTGACAAAATATGGAAAAGTTCAAGGGGTATGAATACTTTTGCAAACCACTGTATTTCCAAAATAAAGAAGTAATTCTTAAACTGGGTCATACCTGATCGTCCACAGTCTGAGCAGGACACCAGCTCCTCTGATTGGCCAGTCTTTTGGTTTAAGGTGGAGTCTCCCAGGCAGAAGTCGCAGTAGTCGTTGGGCAGCGCCAATCCATTGGGACCTTTCTTATTTGCTGAGCAGAAGAACGAGTAAAAACAAAAATTTCAAGCACGTTAGAACTGTTACTGAAACATATCAACGTTTAAAAGATGCTGAAAAGTTTACCAGGTTGGGCAAATGAGGAATAAAAAAAACCAAACATCAGTATAATTTAACCATAAAAGCTGACTAATGACGCTCTGAACTGTGATCTTAAATGAATCCATGACAAAAACAAAAGCACACACGTGTATGTATGAACTTTCAAACACTGTGTCGCGTGCAATAAGAAAAACAACACCTATGAGATGGACTGTGTTGCTGAGGAGGGGGGGTGAAACAAAAAGAAAAATTAATGATGTGCTGAAAAACTGCATGTCCCAACTGTGAAATCCAAACATTGGATCAAAACCATAAAAATAAAAAAAATTAAGAGTTGGGTACAAAAAAAAAGGAATGAGAAAAAGAGACTTCCCTTCAACAAACACATGCTACACGGCATGCAACCAAACTTCCCTCCCGTCTGTCTCTGCCTCAGCACTTCTGACTGACTCACTCTTCTGCTCCTCAGGCTGGCGAGGAGTGGGTGGTGCCTCGATCTCCTCGTGGTCCTCGCCCTCCTCCTCTGCCAGGTGAGAGTGTGTATAGTGGTAGCTCAGGCCGGGACGGTTCTTGTAGCGCTTCCCACAGACTGATATGCACACACACACCGTCATACACAAGTGTTATCGTGATGGTACGCTTCAAAAAAATTTATTTATTAATTTTTTTTAATCAATCAGACAAAAAAGGGCCCAAAGTGGAACCAAGCTGGGAAATTCATCACCCCCAAATTTAGCTTTTATCAGGAATTAATTGTCAGTGGACACGCAAGAAGCAAACCCAAACAGCATTTGCACAGCGAGCCAGGGCCAAGAGGTTGTTACAAAGCACACACAAAGCATCACTGCGAGAAAAAAAAGTGGGGAAAAAAAAATCCCAAACAAAAAAAAGCATCCAGAAGAACTTTTTTTTTTTTCAATTTCAAAGCCACAAACTTTAGTTCCAAGTGGGGTCTTCATAATGACATCATGCATGGCAAAAGGCTTTCAGGTCTTTCAAAGGGAAAATAGCAGAAGCCTCTGTTGCTGACATGCATGATGCAAACGATGGCGGTCCTACTTACTGTCGCAGGCGTAAGGCTTGTCCCTCTCCTCCAGCGCCGCCGCCGCAGCCTCGGATTTCTTCTTGCCGTTCTTCTCACTCCGGCCCTAAAACGTAGACAGTTTTAACACGGCGTGCTCTCGCTGACGGCATCCTGTAGGGAGCAGATCGTCTTCTCGTTTATTAAAAATAAACTCGCCTTCGACTTGTTCTTGCCTCTTCTCTTGGGCGTCTCGTCTTCAAAGTCTTCGTCGTCTAGATCATCCAAGTAGTCGTCGTGGTCGAGAACTCTCTGCGGGGAGAATCGGGGTTAGCTCGCCGCTCAGAAACTCTTGTTTGTCTCAGAGCCCGTATCTAATCTATAGGGGTGCAACTAGGGGTGTAAGAAAATATCGATACACTGAAATATCGCGATATTTCATTTCCCGATACTGTATCGATATTCTAAAGCCCTGTATCGATTTTTAATTAAGTTTTAAAATGTCAACCTTCTTGCCAGCCGTTCATTTTTATGTTGTAGTTCAGCCTCTGACCACTAGTTGGCAGCAGTGAGCCAGCCATTTGGCTCCTCTACCTCTTGAGCGCCAGAGAGTAAGGGTAGCATTAGCATTGTAAGTAAACATTAGCTTTTCTTTTTTTTCAGTAAGAGGTTTTTATTTAATAGAATTTTTGGACAAAAAAATCGCAATATATCGCCTTGTTTACAGTATCGCAATATATCGGGATATATCGTATCGTGACCCCTCTGTTATGATATGTATCGTATCGCCAAATTCTTGCCAATACACAGCCCTAGGTGCAACAATACATGTACCCGTATTGAACCGTTCAATACGGTGTTTTAGGTTCATTACACACTTGTATCGAACAATACAAATTTTTTACATTTATTTTATCAGCTTGTCTTCTGAAGATGCTCTGTGTTGAAGGATCAGAGGATCTGTGTTCGACTACTCCACCTAGGCTGCATTGTCGAGCGCAGATCCACTGAGAAACTTGCTGTTTCAGCAACATTTAATTTAAAAATTGTACTTTTGAGGTTAAACAAATGTTCATAATTAATTTAAATAAATTACAAGTTAAAAGGGGCATGGAAATTCCTCTTTTTTGTATCGAAAAAGTATCGAAACGTGAGATTGAAGTATTGAACCAAACCAAATTGTGAATTTTCTGTATCGTTGCACCCCTACTAATCATCTGATACTTGTTAATCAAGCTTGTTGACTGAATTATTTCAGAGAAAAGTGACGCGTTATAAATCTTACCTGCTTTTCCTTTCTGCGTCACGAAAGGAAAAGTGGAGAAATACCTAAACACTGAAGCTCAGTGAGCTCCACAAAAATCTAAACACTTTACTCTGTTTTAGTAAAAAAAAAAAAACACAGAAAAGGAGGATCTTAAAGAAAATCTCCTTGTTTTGTTGGATGATTTCCCAAACATTCTGGTTTTACAATCGAACTGAAAACCTCATGTGATGTTTGAAGCCTGTCTGGGAGTTTTAGGGTTTCGAGACCAACCTTGCGGATGCGCCCCGAGGACGTGTGAGTGACGGCTGAAGTAGCAGGAGGCTCCACGGTGGCTGGATCGTCCTCTGGGCCGCGAGGGTCCGACGCCCCGCTCCTCCTTTCAACGGACTCCCCTTTCAGCAGCGCCTCCAAGCTGCTTCCATCCACTGCTCCCAAAGCCTCACGCTTCAGACCCAGCTCCAAATCAGCTGAACGTGACATTAAAAAAAAAAATCATATCTGTGTTAAGAGTCGTGCTCATGAATCATTTCAGGAGACAGTGATAAAAAATTACAGATTTTTCGCTGAAGGCGGTACCTGCTTTTAGAGTTGGGAAGGCCAAGCGAGGGTCTTCGGGAGGGTGGGAGCGCCGTTTCTTCCTCCAACGACGAGCCGGGTAAGTGTACAGCTGCCCAGGAGCTACGCCTAACGACAGTGAAAGAAGTAGGTTTTCTTGTCATCGAGAACTGCCTGAACTCACCCTTGAAGTAGCAACTTAGTGTCACAAAAACAGCTATTCTTGAGTCAATCATTAATCCCAGTGAATCAGCTCTAAACGTTAATGAACACACCTGCACTTCGGTGCCTCTTCTCCATCCAGATGTAGCAGTTGGACTGAGCGACACCGGTCTGAGAGTCCAGGAAGGGCATGAGGATGCTGCGCTCGGCACAGAGGCGAGCGTTGTAGCTGTGACACTGCTCCAGGGCATCTCTATAATACTGCTCTCCAAGCCTGGAAAGAAAAATGTTGGAGGACACGCAGAGAGGCAGATCAGCTGAGGTTGAAAACTGCAAAGCAGACGCTCCAAATCTTCAGCGCAAACTAGACTTGTGTCATTCACCGCCTAATGACAATCTTTTAGCTTATAAAATGAATTAACGTGCATTTATAATTTAAAAAAACAGCATACACACAAAAACTGAATTCTTTAATTTTTGCCCTTGCAACAGACTTTTTATGAAGCTCTCAATTGCATTTTTTTAAGACACAAACTTGTAAAATCCTAACATTATGAATGATGTCAATAGGTTTTTTTGATCATTGCTGTGGTGATTTAGTGTAAAATTAACATTATGTAAGGACATGAACAAAACAGTTTTTCTTACTAATGTAGTAGTAAATATTAATTGCTCTGTCACCGTTTATTTTTACTTCATCTAATTGTCCACTAATGTCACAAGCGTTGCGTCGAGTAGCTCCGGAGCAGCATGAAGAGTGACGATGGAGGACTGTCGGAACAAAAGGTTGATTGTTAGCAGCACAGCTCCGCTAATCTGACTGATTTTACTGAAGATTAAAGCCGCTCTTTCACCCACAAGCAGCTGACTAAATGTTTAGTATTAATGTGTGTAAACGCCACCCTAAACACACTGACGAGTGACGGGAGTTGGACAGAGATAGTGGCTTTACGGCGGCTCGTTTTGTGAAATGCCCACAAAGCTAACGAGGTAGCCGCAGCGCAAAGATAACGTAATTCTCCTGGGACAGTTACTGTATCAAAAGAACAAGAATGAGGTCACTGAAACCGTGGGAGCAACGCGGCAAAATCACATCCAGCGAAACCAAAGTGCGCCCGGATACGACCAGTCGTCGTGCTCTTTTAGAAAGAAATAAAAGGTAAACTTACACTTTCACAACACTGTCGACAGCCGCTGCCATGTTTGCTGACTGCGGTTGTGTGAAGTGCCCACTGCGCATGCGCACACACGGTGGCAGTTGTTGCCATGCCTTCCATCCTAATTTCATTATTCTCATCAACAAAATCACGATGGCTACTCATTTTTATGCATTTCTTATACATATCTAAACATTTATTTATTTATTTATTTTGTCATGAACGTTTGTACCTTCTTTAGAGGAACATGACATTTGTGGTTTAAAACTATGTAACTCTTCTCTTGAGGGCTTGAATGACTTGTAACTGAGATAAATGATTTACATTTACTAAACCCATTTTTTGCAAAATATGTGAAAATGTTGATTTTATTTTTGATTGATTTCTCAGTGTATAATGTTTGGGTTGGGAATCCCCCCTTGAGCTGGAATTCCAAATGACGTCATTCTCAAAAATCGCGTTTTCAACCCGCAACTAGGTCGTTGTACAAGGTCAAATTTACCTAATTTAAACAAACTGTGCAGCATTTTGATCCTTTTGTGATACAGGATTTGGAAATACTATCAACTCACCATATTTCCAAATGTCTAAAAAACACAAAATAAATCGGAACCATGAGCCTTTCTATTAACCCAATGTTCATTTTCGTACAAAAGAGGGCGCAAGTGACTTAACTTTTTCTAAATTAAAACAGAAGAAGAAAGTGCGGAAGTCATCTTCTGTGCTAATATGGGCATAGCTGTATCTGTTCATACTGTTTTTATCGAGTTAAGGTAAGACTAAAACATAGAAGTTATGCTTCACGTTATTTTCTAAGCATTTAAAAACACTCTGAACTCTTAAAGAAGCTGCATTTAATAATGCTAACACGACGGTTTGCATGCTAACAGTCCAGTAAAAGCAGCTCCACTGTATCTGATAACTCCTCAAATGCAGCCGTATGGAGGTGTTCTCCTAAAAAGCTGGAAGTTGTGGGTTGTTTTACAGAAAAAAATGAGGTTTTATATATTCTTGGAGCTTTAATTACATTTAACCAGTTACTGCATAGACCTGGTCTCAGAGCTCCAGTAATGGTCACATCAGGTCAGGTTGGACATGCCTTATTTTTTCAGGGTGCCACAGTACAGACTAGGATAATATGACTCATTATGGCAGACAAGTCTAATGAAACTATTTAAAATGGTATTTTATATGTAAATATATTTTTATATTTGTTGTTCGGTGCTGTAGAAGGTTTTCAGAATGGAATAAAACCACAAAAGTGCTGTGTGTGTGTGTG